GCAAGCTGACATTATGAGTTTTTGGTGCAGTTGAAACCAGAGCAGTACGTCTAGAGTAGGTTAATATGTTTGACTCATCAATATCACCACTAATTATTTTACCGTTGTCAATGTCGTTTTGTGACTGAGCTTGCTTTTCCTTAGCAATTTCTTCTTGAAGAAGCTCATCTGAATGATCTTTTTCAATATTTTCTTCAACAGGTAACTGATTCTCTTCAAAAGGTAGAACAGAAGAATCTTGAAATACCGGTAAGTTGTTGAAAAGCTTCAAGTTGTTCAGACTCTTGTTCAATGCGGGACAAATTGGAAAAACAAGTAGGTGTGCTTGACATTGATTATTTGAAGATTATTGATCCGGACCACTTTGTAAGTAGAATAATCATTTGAGTAACCAATCAAGACACCCTCCCATGATAAAGAATCAAACTTTCTCTCATGGTGAACTTCCGGTTTGAGTGACCAAACTTTACAGCCAAAAGGACAAAAAATTTTGATATTCGGTCTTTTCTTGAATAGAAGTTTAATTGGCAAAGTACGACTCTTCAAGAGTGATGGTAAGCATTTAGTGACTGCACAGGCAGTTTTCACTGCCTCTGCCCACCATTCCGGCACTAGATTGGATTGCATAAGCATGCAACAAGTCATATTGAGAATTGTACGATTTGCGCGCTCCGCAAAACCGTCTTGTTGAGGAGTGTATGGTGGCAAAACGTTGTGTTGAACTCCACTTGCTTCGAGTAAGCCAGACAGCTTCTTATTGCAAAACTCACCTCCACCATCTGTAATTAACTTCTTCAAGCGATTCCCAGTTTGATTTTCATAGAAGACTCTGAATTTTTCAATTGCATCAGGCACTTCACTTTTCTCTTTAAGAATCACAAATATTGATAAATCCAGTAAATTGATCAACTAAAGTTAGAAAGTATAGCTCTCCACCATTTGATGATGGAGTAATTGGTCCTACTAAGTCACCATGAACAACTTCAAGAGCGGCCAAAGTTGAGTCAAAATGATGTTTAAAACTTCGTTGAATCAACTTTCCTTTCATACACGAATCACAAAATTTTTCCCTCACTATTTTTTCATCAGCCAGAATAACGATCTTCAATCTATCCGTACTTGCATGATCAAGACAATTATGCCATTTTGTAAAGCCGGAGGTTTCAGTTGAAACTGTAAGCATAGCGATAGTTTGATGATGAGGAGGAAAAACGTCGCCTTTGATTTCAAAGAGTTGATTGGATAAATTGACAATGAAGATTTTTTCTTGATTGTTAGAAATCACTTTGTAGACACCACCAACTCGCTGAATTAGAATCTTTTCATCAATTAGTTGAGCAAGTGGGATAAGGTTTCTAGTTATGTTGGGTACGAATAAAGAATCTTTCAAAGTAATAAATTTGTCGTCCGCCATTTGAATCATTGCTGTTCCTCGTCTGACAGCAATAAGTTCTTCTCTTGATTTTCCATCACCAGTAACGATAAAGATATGAGTCGGTTCACTATCAAGGAAAAATTCAAGAGAATTGAACATGTGGTTACTAGCTCCTGAATCAAGAATCGTTACCAGTTTCTCTTGAGGCAAAGATTGCCGAACAGTGCTGCAATATCCAAATGAAGGTACAGCATTTTCATTATTTGCATTGCTACTAGAGGATTGTTGGTTTGAGTCGCTAGAAGTAGCCGTCTGAGTTACAGTGACTCTTGATGATGGATAAGCTCGAAAACGTTTAGGTTGTTTAGTCGGATTATCGTACCAACAATTCCTTTGACTGTGAGTGGTGTTCAGATCATGGCCATTTTGACATGGATGCTCATAATCTTGCGAAGGAGGCGGCGGCGGTGGAGGAGGTCGTTTTCCATTTCCTTTGAAATTAGTTGACAAAGCCAACGTTGAACTGCTAGACTGTGTAGTTCTTTCTTCACGCTTTGTATATGTCTGTTCATGAATCGCAAGAGTACGCAGCTTTTCCAAGAGTCAATAACAATCAGAAGTAAGAGCTTCATCCAACATCAAGTTCTCCATGAGATCTTGTTTTACCATAGTGACTCGACTAATGATGCACACAGCAAAGAGATCCTGAGTAACATCATAGCCAATTGTCTTGAATTCTCCTAAGCAATCTAAACATCAATCAACATAAGAAACGATTCCTCGATCACAGTGAATCGTGTCCCATAAACGCCAGACCTTACAGAGTGATAAGATTGACTTTGATGTGCATTTTGTTTTGAGAGTCGACCAAGCAGAGAAAGGAGTTATATTTGATGATAAGTTAAATATAGAGTTATAAATTGAGTTGTCAACTACTGAACTAAGATGAAACATAGCGCAGGAATTTTTTTCTTTTGTCTCGTCACTGATGGGTAAAGGTTGCTCGTGAAGACAGACATTGATGAGCTGACAAGAATCAAGGAAGTAATGCATCTTGGACTCCCAAATTGAGTAGTTTTTGCCTGTCAATTTGTGAACAGCGCTAATGCCTTTGTCGTCCATGGCATCTTTTTGTGAGAATGCTTCCACCGTTGTAAGACTCAAAAGTGGTTATGAGACCCTTTTGCTGAATGGAGAAGGGGATGGTGGAGTTGCAAGCTCTGCCCTTCTATGCTATCAGAACAACAAGACCACCAAGCTCAGCTTGGCAGTTTATATATCGTGATAGAGGATAGTTCGAGATGAAGCTGCCGAATGATTCGTATAACGGTTAAAGGTGTTGATGGTGATTGTTGATGATGATGTTGTTGTTGATGAAGTTGTTGATAGAGGTGTCAATGATTGTTGTCGAGGTTGAGGCTTGAACGCAGGTCCTTGAGGTTGAGGGTATATAAAGTTAAAAAGAGGTGATTTGGAACCAAGGCGCTGGGCGCTGGGAGCACTATGCTTCAACCAGGAATGGAACAGGGGACTGGCCACTTGGTATGATGATGATGATGTGAAAAGTGTTATGAATATATTGCGATAAAATAAGGGTGGTTATATAACTGTGACTTGTAATATAATGGGTGGTGGTTGTAAGGGTGGTTGAGATGATCTGGTCCACTGGTGGGATGATGAAAGGTACAACTGGCAGGCAGAGGCCTCCTTATATAGACAAAAGTGAGGGATTTTAGCTCCAGGGTACATGCAGGTGAGGGAATTTAGCTAGCCTGAAAATCCAATGAGGGAATTTAGCTAGTCTAGTACATGCAGGTGAGGGAATTTGGCTGGTGAGAGCACTGCCTTGAGGGATTTTGGCTAGCCTACAAGGTCCTACTACAAAGGAATGCATGTGCACCTACAAAGGAATTCAATATGAAATATAAGCCAGTAAAGGAATTCAATATGATACAAAGGAATTCAATATGAAATATGCATCCAGTATTCAAAATGAGACGTGGTCAGGATAATAATAAAGAAAAGCTCCTGTGACAGCTTGAGATAAGTGTAACTTCTGAACTAGTAGAGATAAGAGGGTAGTTGTAGTGAGTGACTAGGGGTTATTTTACCTCAGGAATCCATTTTTGATTTCATTTTTACCCTATCTTCAATATTTAGAAAGATAATAATAAATTTTTATATTTTTGGCGTAGAAACACAGGAATAATTACCACATCCTCCCCCAACTTATTGACTGTCCCCAGTCAATTCTGACTTTGACTGTGTTTCGGAGTTATATCTACAGAATAATTTGAAAGAGCCTGGCCTTGCGTGTGTCTGATTGGCTTGAGGGGTGTTGAGTTAATGATGAATTTGTGTCCCCGAGTTTTGACAAAGCCTGCGTCCAGAGAACTTATGGATTTGACCGGTGGTGAATCTGTTTGTCGAGTATTGTACATGAATCTTACAGCCGGAGAACTTGTTTATTTGTCCAACTTTTTTGATTGTAGTAAAAAAAAAACATGTTTTTGTCTTGTCTTATTTATTTTATTTTGTTTTTTGTTTTTATTTTATTTTATTTTCATCAAGTACTGGGTTTGAACTTGGGTCCTCAGCAAAAAAAAAAAATTCTTGTGTAGTGGTGAAAAAGGTTTGTTGAAAAAAACTTAGAAAAAAAGTTGGTGTCCAAAAATCTAGTTGACAGATCAAGAAAACCAATCCAGAGGTTTCATAATCCAAGAATTGAATATGGTGAGAGTGGGACTTGAAACCAGGGCTCAGGTTGGTGATGTGGCCCTTACCAACTCGACTAAAGGTGCAGTTGGTGGCTTTCTTGGTTTAGAATCCGAGTCGTTCGCGCTGTAGTTAGAATGTATCAGCCCTGTCACAGGTGTGACAGGGTCCGGTCCAATTGGCGAGGGTTGCCCTTTTCTCCACTATCAATCTCCATGGATACCTTCTTCTCAATCTTCTCGCTCAATCCTTTCCGCTACATCAAGAATCTCGTCCTCGCAACTCGAACGATGGTTTATCCATCTTGACAGGTCAGTCAGTCGATTTCCTCTTTTTCCTTATGTTTTCTAATTTGATCCCCTCTGGCCGCTTCCTAACTCGAACGATGGACTACCCCACTTGACAGGTCACCGATCTTCCACCGTCACTAGCTTTGGCCTCGGAGCATTCGTGCTCTTGTTGCGCTGGTACGTCCTTCCTCTTTCTTCTAATTCGTTTATCCATCTGGTATCGTCACCGCGCTCGCCTTTTAGTTCTCACCCCGGCTGACTTCCATTTTGATGTGATCCTTCCTTAGTCTAATCTAGGATCGAGGAGACCACTGCCGTTGTTTTGACAACTCAAACCCACTACGTTTCAATCGAACGATACCGCTACCTCTGCCTTTAGTCCTTTCTCCCCACAATGCCTGTTCTTTTCTGGAAGCCACCTTGGTTTTGATCCTCTCGATACCTTCGCAAGCGCCATCGTCTCGTCCATAAATACCGGCCTCGCCTCCGTGTTTCTGATCTTTCCTCACCAGCTTCCTTCCACAGCCAGCTACTCCCAACTATCCAACTTAGCTTTCAACTTCCCCTACTTCCATCGCAGCGTTTCTTCCGTTACACTACTTCTTTCCTCCACTACCACCATGTCGTCCGGTAACTCTAACACGTCCTCGCCTGTCGAGATTCCAGCCCCTCGCGGTTACCAAGCGTTATCCAATCCAACTCCCGCCAACGATGTAAGTCCTCGTCTCTTTTTGATTCTAATCCTTATCGATTGCCAGTTCCTGACCCTGTCCTTGTTTCTAGAATTCCTATGTACAGGATGGGATACGCTACTACCCCGAGCGCGGCGATTGGAGCCCGCTATTTGTGCCTAACGCTGAAGTGAGTTTACTTGTCCGTTCTCTTTCTGACCTGTCGCTGCCTGGTTTTACTGATTGGCCTCCTCTTCTGTCATTGATATAGACCCCTCGTGCGGCTGACATCCCTGTCAATCCGATGTCCGGCCCCGATCCTGATCCGGTAAGTTTTTCTTTCTTCATCATCGATGTTTGTAACCTCTTGTTGATGCTTTGCTGCTCTCTTTTCTTTCTTGTTCTAGACTGGTGAGACCGTAAATGCCCCGGTTACTTCGATGGCTGATTGCGACACCACTATGGAAGCGGTAAGTCTTGACTTCCTAGCTTTTGGATCTAGTATCTTGCGGTGACCTTCTTCTGTCGCCAGGCCGTCCTCAACAATGCTCCCGACTTCTCTCGTCCTCCACCTATTCAGACCTTCCCAGCTCCCATCCCTCTCCCTTATGGGATGGAGCTCATCCAAACTGGCACCCACTTCCTTCCTCAAAAGGAAAAGTGGCAAAGCCTCTACGATCCGGCCGGAAAGTTCGATTTGGTAAGTTGATCTATCCTTCTTCATTGTTGTTGCTTATTGTGATACCCTAACACTATCTTCCCTTCCTTCTAGTCCACGATCCCGGATGAGGTTCCCGTCCCTCGTGGGTTTATTGATCCCCATCCCTTCTGTAACATGCCTGTGTGCTGCGACCCCGTGGTACGTTCATGTCATTTCTTTCCCTTCTCCTTTATTCTTCATGTTACTGATCCTGACTGTTGATGTTGTCTTCTTCTGTAGTTCCAAAACCCGCCGCCTGGACTCGTTGTTCCTGCCGTCCATCCACTCATGGCCGCCAATCTTCCGTCGCACGCTCCTGGCGCTCATCCAGCTCCGGCCTCGACCTCTACGTCCGATTCCTCGACCTATCCGCCTCTCTCTGAGTTCCTTCACCATGGCCACAAAGACGTCCAGGACCTTCTCTCCAAGAAAAATTCGCCGCCAGACGCCACCTGCTTGTATACTGAAGAAGACGTAATGCGTATTTTTGAAGGTATTGCCCCTGAGTTCGTTTGGCTTTGCGATGATTTCCCTCCCCATACTTTGAATGAATTTGACCGCCGTGTTATGTTCTTTGAGAACATGCAATGGCACTTCAAGTGCAAGAAGTCCACCTACTTGTCGACCCGTAACTTCTGAGTATTGTTTTCTTTTTCTTCTTTTTCCTAAAAACCAAAAAAATTGTAAAAGATAAAAGAAACTAAAAAAATTTAAAACTTCTTCAAACCTCCAAAAAAAAACTTTTGTATCCTCTTTTATCCCTGACTACTCCTCCTCCAGTTATTATTATTTTATACTTTTTTTTTCTTCTTTTCTTGATCTTTTCTTTTCAAGTAAATAAATTTTTAATTTTTCTAATTGATTGACCAGACCCCCTCCCCCAACTTTGATGGTTGTCCCCAACCATGGCTGATTTTAGTGAGTAAGAGTGAAGAAATCTTATTGAAGAAAATGAGTTTGAAGAAAGAGATAAAGAAAAGGAAAAGAAAAGAGATAACAGACTATACTATGGACTTTTCTCCCCCAACTTATAAAATTTGGCTGGAATTGGTATGTTTTTATCTTTTGTGTCTTTTCATCCTTTTTTTTTTTTTTTTTTTGATATTTTTTTTTTTTTTTTTTTTGATGATGTGAAAGTGGTATTTATCTTTTATCTTTAAATTTTTATGTTTATTTGATAAGATAACTAAAAAACTGACTTAGAAATACAGAAAAGAAATTCAGAGAAAGATATGAAAAAAAATGTTGTTATTCTGAAGTGTTAGAATCCCTGTCAGAGCTCTCTTCTGAGCTATGATCCGAGTCTGAATGTGAATGTGAGTCTTCTTCGTTCCGAATATCTGATAAAAGCCGTCCTCGTGGGTAGAACCTCTTGATGTGAGATGCAGCATAAGCCCTTTTTAGTTCAACTCCGTCTAGTTCCTCGAGTATATAGGATCCTCCGTTCAGTTGTTTCTTGACTTTAAATGGTCCATTCCACCTATTTTCAAACAATTTTCCCCACTGATCCTCTAGACTCTTGTTGTAAGTTAAAACTAGGTCCCCGGGTTGGAGTGGTTGTCGTAATCTAGCCGCCATTTTCCAATCCCAGAACCGAACTGAATTCTCTCGAGTTTCCATCATTTTGTGGTGAGCTATGTCCAAAATCTCGTCTCGTCTTTCCAACTGTTTTGTCCTTGCTTCAAGAAGTTCTGCTGTAGTACTGATTTCCATCCAATCAATTCCCAGGTAGGTGTCCATTTCAATATCCACGGGGAGAACTGCCTTCTGCCCAAACATCAACTCGTACGGAGAATATCCAGTAGTTCTTTTTGTTGAGATTCTGTCTGAGAATAAAACTAGAGGTAAATATTCCCTCCATTTTCCGCCTGATTCTCCACACATTTTTACTAATGTATCTTTGATTGCCCTGTGGCCTCTTTCAATCATTCCATTTGCTTCAGGGTAGTACGGCGTAGTTGGTTTGAATTTGGCTCCAATGCTTTCCACCGCCGTAATAAACTCGTTCTTGAATTCTGGTCCATTGTCTACCGTAACCGTCTTGATTGCTCCGTACCGATACACCCATTCTTCTAGAAGGAATTTAGCAATAGTGGATGCTGTTAATTTGACCAATGGTGCTGCTTCTGCCCATCCCGATAAGTCGTCTCTAGCAATTATTAAATATTTATACCGTCCAGCTTTGATATGGCAAACGTCCAAAGCCACTCGCCCAAATATAGTTGTTGCCCCGGTTGGGTCCCTGATTTCTCTAGGTACCAAAGCATCTCGTTTCTGACAGGCCTCGCAACTTTGAACCCACAACTTTGTTTTCTTCTTCAAACTGGGCCACCAAAATCTGCAAACCAGTCGTTGATAAGTTTCCTCCAATCCTCTGTGTCCCAATTCTTCATGAACTTTTCTCAAGAGTTTGCTTTGGTAAGAAATGTTGGAGATAACTAGTTGAGCCATGGATGAGTGTCGCCGCATGAGTCGTCCATCTTGGATAAAGAAGTTAACTGATTTCCGCTTTATTGACCGGTATTCTTCAGGATCCATGCCGGTTGGCCGTTTCATTGTACTTAAGTAATTCTTGAGATCCATCCAAAATCCTGGTGATTCCCATTCCAAAAGTTCTTCTGATATTGAAAATGTCCGGAACTGGTAAGTTGCTCATATCACTGGCTCATCTTCATCAAAGTCTGGCTGATCTTCATAGAATTCGTCCTCTTTGTCACTGATAGGTCTTCTGGATAGAGCGTCCGGTAAAGTAAATGTTTTTCCTGGCTTATGTACTATGTCAAACGAGAAGAGTTGAATAAAGGCCACCCATCGCGTCATTGGTGCATTTGGGAGTGAAGGTGAGTTGATCATTTGAATAAGTGATTGCGCGTCAACTTGTAATTCGAAATGTTGACCCCAAAGAAGTGTTTGCAGTTTCTTGAGAATTCGAGAGACTCCGCATAATTCTAATTTTGGCTGCGAATATTTGGATTCCACGGGTGAAAACACTATTGACTCGTATAACACTGGTCTATTCAAACCTGTCTCTAGTTCTTGTTGGGCCAAAACTGCTCCTGCCGCAATGAAACTTGAATCCACCGCTAGCACAATCAGCCCTGCGCCTTCCGAATAGTCCAGATTCTTTAAGGTGATATCTTCTCCAATTATTTGTTTGAGCTTGTTGAATGCTTCATTACACTCTCCGGACCATGCCCAGCTAATGTCTTTCCGTGTGAGTTTCCGTAGAGGTGCCACAATTTCCGCTAGGTCTTTGACAAAAATGCGGACATAAGTGACTATTCCCATGAATCCTTGTAGTTCAGTGAGACTGTTTGGAGTTGGCCATGTGGTGATTTTCTTTTTCTTCTGTACTGAAACTTTCTGTCCTTCTTTGCTGACCACGTGTCCAACAATATCCAATGCAGGTACGCAGCAAGCAAACTTCTTTCCAGATATAGTGAGTCCGGCTTCTTCAATCCTAAAAAGTACTCTTTCCAAAGTTTGAGCATATTCCCAGATGAATCTTTGAATCCCCGGGTTTTCTTCCAAAACTTCATCGTTGTAAGTTGATCGAGGTCCTTTTATTCCACCATCGTCAATAAATACGCCAACATATTCTGGAATTTCGTCTTCAAGAATCCACATCATTTGAGCTTGATAGACTGCAACCGAGTTTGTGGCCCCTTGAGGAAGTCTGGTTAGTTGAAATCTTCCCAAAGGTGTATCGAAAGTGGTTAAAGGCCTTGATTCTTCCGCCAATTCTCGTTCGTCGTATCCTCCCATAATATCTCCTAATCCATAACAGGCTCGTCCAGCAAATGCTTCTACAAATTCTTCTGTTGCTGGCGGTAATCCTGTGTCCTTGATGGTTACTCGGTTCATTTCCTGTAAATCGTGCACAATCCGTAATTTTCCATCATGCTTTGCAACGCAAAAAACTGGACTAGAGTAGCTGGAAGTGGATTGCTCGTATAAGCCGGTCCGTATTCGTTCTCGCACTAGTTCCACGTAATCATCCTTAATAGCAGCTGGTATTGGTATTGGTTTCTTCTGCCACGGTATATGATCAATGACTGGTATCACGTAAGGTAGTCCGTAAGAGTGTTTCAAAAGTCCTCGTTCTTCCATACAGAATGCCAAAGCTTTTTCTCTGATAACAATGACGTGCTTAAACAGTTTGAGTTCCTCTTTCCAAAGCCATCCTTCCGGTCCAAAATTAACAACCTTTAAGCGCTCTTCAGTGATTTTATTGGTAGGTGTGAATTCTGGTGGATGCGGAGTAAGCGGAGTTTTATATGGGTCTCGAGATAGAGGTGGTCGCTTTAGTGGTGGATTTAATAGCTGTGGAAGTGGCTGATTAATTGGTCGAACTTTCTTCCCAACTGGTTTATACTTTGTCAAACACCACAGATTTCCTTCTCGCCAACTTTCACACAGCTTTGTCTGAAAGGTCAAACCTAAACCTTCCGTAAGTAGATTATCCGTGATTCTTTCCTGATTCTGTCGTACTGGTCCTGATACTGTTTTGGTTGAATTGGCTTCCAGGACTGGTTTCACTTCCTCTAACGTCGGAGTTCCATTCTTCCTCGCCAAAGCTGATCCTTGGTTAGTCGTAGTATGCCATAATCGTGCTGTTTCTGTTTTACAAATTTTCAAAAGTAGAAGAAAAATAATCAGAATGTTCTTTTTTAATAACATTACCTTTGCGAAATATCTTTTTGTTAGTTTTGGTAGTTTTCTAAATAAATCCAAAAGAAAAGTTTTGAGCCAGTCTAGAAAACCCGGTGTTCTGGATATGACTCGCTTGACTAGCTTAAGTGAGTAATCCCTTAGTTGAACACCGGAATTCATAAAAAAGACTGCTTTGAAGAATTCTTGAACATTCGATTGTCTTCGTTCGGCCGTATATTCCCGTCCTGCATCTTCATACTGTTGGTACTGAGATCTTTCTTGTTGTTCCAACCTCTTCCTTGGCCCGTCCTTGCTAATGGTACTGATACCCTTTGTCCCTTTGTTCCTTGGAAAGACAGAGTTTCACCATTTTCATGATATTCCAGAGTGCATCCGTAGTCGAATAAGAATGGTCGTCCTAAAATACAGTCCTGAGCCTTGGGTGAAACAAACAGGTGTGCTGGTCCGGAGAATCTTCCAATTCCGATTGGGCAATTTCAGCTACTCCATTTAAGTCGCATCTTGCTCCCCCAACTCCTTTCATTGGTATATCTACTTGTACTAGTTCCAAATCCAGGTCTTCTGCTACTGATCGAGGCATAACGTTTACCATGGATCCTGAATCGACCATAAATTCCACGCTAGCTCCCCCAACTTCGGCTGTTACGTATCCTAGGGCGCAGCTATAGTAGCAAGGGTCCGAGGGATCTTCTATTTCCGGAGTGGTCATGGCTGCTGAGACTTTTGTGGCTTCTGTAGTGATATAGGTTGTACTGCTTTTTCCTGGGAGTCGATTCTGAAGTTTTGTGATTATTTGTTCCGTATAGGTTGGTGAAATAGCAGTGAGTTGTGCAAAAGTTGTTGGAATTTTCAAATGATCTAACTCCTGCAACAGAGCTTCTTCTGGTGTTGCAGCCTTTTTATTAACTGGCTTCTCTTTGCTCCATGCTTTCTCTATCACAGGTGTTTTAGGTGTTTCTTCTGTA